TTTTTTTTTTTTTTGCTCCTGTTGTCTCTTGATTAGACCATCAGGAAGTCCTTCTATATCAGTGCTCTTGGTAAATGATTCACATTTTTAAAAAGTTTTCATTTTAATTTTCCAATATGCTTAACATACAGCGTAATATTAGTTTCAAATGTACAATATAGTGATTCAACAATTCCATACATCACCCATTGCACATCATGACAAGCACCCTCCTTTTTTTTGAAATTTTTATTTATTTATGATAGAGAGAGAGAGAGAGAGAGAGAGAGAGAGAGAGAGAGAGAGGCAGAGACACAGGCAGAGGGAGAAGCAGGCTCCATGCACCGGGAGCCCAAAGTGGGATTCGATCCCGGGTCTCCAGGATCGCGCCCTGGGCCAAAGAAAGGCGCTAAACCGCTGCGCCACCTAGGCACCCTCCTTTATACCCATTGCTTATCTTACCCATCCCCTACCCACCTCCCCTCTGGTAACCATCACATTTTTCTCTATAGTTAAGAGTCTATTTCTTGATCTCTCTTTCTCTCTCTTTCCTTTGCTCATTTGTTTTGTTTTGTTAAATTCTGTATATGAATGAGATCATATGGTATTTTTCTTTCTCTGACTGACTTATTTTGCTTAGTATTATACATTCTAGCTCCACCTACATCATTGCAAATGGCAAGATTTCATTCTTGTTTGTGGATGAATAATATTCCATTGTGTATGAATACCAAATCTTCTTTATCAATTCTTCAGTTGATGGATGCATGAGCTGTTTCCATTATATGGCTCTTGTAGATTATATATTATAATGCCCTGATAATAAACATCAGGGTGCATGTATCCCTTTAAATTGTTTTTTTTTCTTTTTGTATTTTTGGTGTACATACCCAGTAGTGCAATTACTGGATCATAGTGTACTTCTATTTTTAACTTTCTGAGGAACCTCCATATAGTTTTATAGAGTGACTGCACCAGTTTGTATTACCACCAACAGTGCAAGAGGGTTCCTTTTTCTACACATCCTCACCAACACTTGTTTCTTGTGTTTTTGATTTCAGCCATTCTGACAAATGTGAGGTGATATCTCACCATAGTTTGATTTGCATTTACCTGATGAGGAGTGATGTTGACCATTTTTTCATGTATCTTCTGGCCATCTAAATGTCTTTTTTGATAAAATATCTATTCATGTCTTCTGTCCAGTTTTTAATTGGATTATTTGTTTTTTGGGGGGTGTTGAGTTGTAATTTTTTTGTATACTTTGGACAGTAACCCTTTATTGAATGTGTCATTTGCAAGTATCACCCTCCATTCAGTGGGTTGTCTTTTAGTTTTGTTATTTCTTTGGATGTTCAGAAACTTTTTATTCTGATATAGTCCCGATAGTTTATTTCTACTTTTGTTTCTCTTGTCTCAGTAGACTAATCTAGAAAATTGTTGCTACAACTGATGTCAGAGAAGTTACTTCCTGTACTCTCTTCTAGGATATTTATGGCTTCAGGACTCACATTTAGGTTTTTAATCCAATTTTAATTTTTTTGTATGGTGAAATAAAGTTGGCCAGTTTCATTCTTTTTTATATAGCTGTCTGGTTTTCCCAAAAATATTTGTTCAAGGAACTTTTTCCCATTGAATATTCTTTCCTGCTTTGTTAAAGATTAATTGACCATATAATTGTGCGTTTATTCTTGGGTTTCCTATTCTGTTCCATTGAGAAATGATTCAACTTTTATTCTCCAGAAGAAACCCTAGGAGATAATTTAGCAAGCAAAGCAAAAGTTGTAGCATTTTTTTCTGCTTTGTTGATTCACTAAGAATTTATTTACTTTATTCACAGACTGGCCTTGCTTTGCCAGCAAAGAAGCTACAATTTTTTAAAAGATTTTATTTATTTATTCATGAGAGACAGAGAGAGAGAGAGAGAGGCAGAGACTTATGCAGAAGGAAAAGCAGGCTTCATGCAAGGGGCCTGATGTGGGACTCAATCCCAGGACTCCAGGATCACACGCTGGGCTGAAGGCAGGTGCTCAACTGCTGAGCCACCCAGGTATCCCAAGAAGCTACAATTTATATTGCTTTATAAAAAAAAGATCCATTAGCAACATTAAAAAGGTTCATGTCTTAGGGATGCCTGAGTGGCTCAATTGGTTAAGCATCTGCCTTCAGCTCAGGTCATTATCCTGGGGTCCTGGAATTGAGCCCCACATTGGACTCCCTGCTCAATGAGGAGTCTGCTTCTCCCTCTCCCTTTGCTCCTCCACTCCCCTACTTGTGCACACACACACACTCTCTCAAAATAAATAATAGATAAAATATTTTTAAAACATTCATGTCTCTAAAAACATGATATGTAATTACCTAATAATTATTTAGAGAATATGAATAATTTTAAAAATTAGCTCTAATATGCCTGGTTCTATATTATGTGTATTCCACCAAGTTAACTATCCCAGGCTTGCAATTATTAAGTGATTCATTCTTCAAAGATTTTTCCCTATAGCTGCAGTATAATTTAGGCCAAAATCACCTTGTAATAATAAAATAAAAATCAATGTACCCACTTCTTGATAGTGTAAACAGCAAATGTGGCAAGAATATAATAGGATAGTGAAAGTAAAAAGCAATCTTGTTTTGGGGGGCTGCCTTTTATAAATTAGGTAATTACATCTGTTTTGTTTTTTTGTATTGCCATTTTGGTAATGTTTTCATAATTACTGAGGAAGAAAAAAAAAGTAGCTTAAGCAATATATCTTTCAACCCTAAGAGAATAAACGTAGCCAAACTATTAAAGAATGTGGCCAAGGGTATCTTAAAAGGGAATTTCTGTGATCTTTAGAGTGGGGAAGTCGCCTTTGCCAGTTCCCCTAATTATCTACTTAAAGTGAATTCCATCGATATAGCTATTATTCAAAGATGGTCTACATAAAGATGCCCACTCCAGATGATTTAGGGACCACAATGGAGATTGCCACTGTGAGAGACAACAGAAAATGCTTCCCTTTGCATGAAAGTGTGAAAATGCAGTAAGTACTGAGTGCCAAAAGTAGGTGACTCAGGATGGAGCAGAGTTTGAAAAACTCATTTTGATTCTCAGTGAAGAATACTCATTTTTTTTTACTGAATTAATCACCAAAAGCATCATTTGTTAGATTTTTCTAAAAACAGAAAATGTAAGCCATTAATTAGAATTCCTAGTGTTTCCTTCATTCTAAAAATGCAGTCTAATGTAATTACCAAAATTGAAAATCAGGAAGAACTGAAAAAAAGCTTATTGATGTCTTAGCTTTTCCTTTGTCATTAACTCTTACAACTGAGGATGTAATTCTTTATCTAAGCTACCGAATTTGGGGAAAAAAATCTCATATTTCTCATGTTTCTGTTACCGGTGTTACCTGTACTAATCTCATGAACTATAGATATCTTTTAATTTTATTTTGTAGCTTTTCAGTCTTCTGCTTGTTTTTTAGTACTTAAGAGAATTAAAGATTTGAAAGCTAATTTTCAGGAATGTATTATAATTTTTTACTTTTTTTTTTGTATTTATTTTTACCTAAGTAAAGAGTTTTGGTCACAGGCAGCTAACTTTAAAATTAAATCAAAAGGTCTGTGGGCAGCCCCAGTGGCGCAGGGGTTTAGCGCCGCCTGCAGCCCAGGGCGTGATCCTGGAGACCCTGGATCGAGTCCCACGTCGGGCTCTCTGCATGGAGCCTGCTTCTCCCTCTGCCGGTGTCTCTGCCTCTCTCTCTGTGTCTCTATGAATAAATAAATAAAATCTTTAAAAAAAAATCAAAAGGTCTGGAGGATAGGGGGAGATTTGGGGGGCGTGTAGAAAGTATAGAATGGACAAGAATTTGTGATGTAATGTGAGGCTAAGAAAAAGAATATATAAGGGCTATAAAACAAGAAATATAGGGTGAGGACTGAGGCAAGGGCAATATGAATTCTTTTTTTGAATATGTTGATTTTGAAATGTCTATGAAGAGTCAGTTGGAGATCTTTAGGATGTAGTTGAAAAAAATAGCTGTAAATCTCAGATGAGACATTTGACTTGGCTAAATATTTGAAAATTATTGGATAGAGATGATAACTGAAGTTGTGCAGTGGAAAAGGATACCAGAGGCTCAGTATACATATTCATTCATTTATTTAGCAAATAAGTTTAAGTGCCTATTATATGCCACACAAAAAAATGATGAGACGGAAATAATTCATTTTATTAAAAACAAAAAAAATAATGAAACTGTGGACTCATTTAAAGTAGAATCTATCTTTTTTGTCACTGCCAGATACTTTTATTTATTTTTTATTTTATTTTTATTTTTAAAAAGATTTTATTTATTTATTCATGAGAGACACAGAGAGATAGAGAGGCAGAGACACAGGCAGGGGGATAAGCAGGTTCCATGCAGGGAGCCTGACATGGGACTCAATTCCAGATCCCCAGGATCAGGCCCTGGGCTGAAGGCAGCGCTAAGCTGCTGAGCCACCTGGGCTGTCCTGCCAGATACTTTTAGATCCTAGATTTATACTTTTCAGGCTTTTATGAAAAAATATTTCTGTTAAATTATATATATATATAATATACATATATTATATATATATATAATTTAATATATATATATTTGTCTGCTGAACACTAACACCAGAATTTAATTATTTGGATATTTCTTTGTTTCTCCATAATAATTCATGATTTATACTATGAATTCAAGAAACTCCGTATTCTTCCTAGATCTAAAGTTGTCAATGACAATCTAGGGACTGACAGACATGAAAAAATCTTTTATCTAGTACACTCGCAGATAAGAGGCAAAAGTGTGATCTTGAGCAAACAATAACATTTTATCCCACCTCCACTAGTTCTTCCTTTTTTCTTTTAGCATCTAGAATATGAGATCTACAGGTTCTTATATTTGTTTATTTCAAATTCTAGTCATAAAAACTTCTTATAGGAAGTTTTTATTTCAGTCTGTAGAGTTGTTTTTGTTTGTTTGATTGTTGGTTGGTTGTTTTTTTAGAGAGGGGGAATGCAGAGAGAGCATCCCAAGCAGGCTCCAAGCCCAGCATGGAACCTGACACAGGGTTTGATCCACAACCCTGAGATCCTGACCTGAGCCAAAATCAAGAGTTGGACCCTTAATCGACTAAGCCACCCAGGCACTGCTACTTCATGCTCTATGGTCTTTAAAAGGAGTCTTTTAAAAAGCAAGAACATTTATGGTTTCATCAATTCTCACTAACCTGCAATCTTTCAACCTTATAGTCTGATTCCTATGAAAAGCTACCATCAGAAGGTAATAACTAAAGTATACACTTTCCCTGGAAGTTAATTGTCACATATTGCTCAGTAGTGGTGCTTCATGCCTGGAGCAGGGATAGCTATTTTCTCATTTAATTTCATTTGTATTATTTGATACTAACTGCCCTTGTTAGAAAAAATATATATATATTTCTATATATTGATATCTATCTATCTATCTATCTATCTATCATCTATCTATTTATCTACCTATCTATCTATATACGCTTGGGTGGTGCAGTGATTTAGCACCTGCCTTCAGCCCACGGCATGATCCTGGAGTCCCGGGATCAAGTCCCACATCGGGCTCCCTGCATGGAGCCTGCTTCTCCTTCTGCTTGTTTCTGCCTCTCTCTCTCTCTCTCTCTCTCTCTCCCTCTCTCTCTCTCTCTCTCATGAATAAATAAATAAAATATTTTAAAAAAGAAAAAATATATTCAATTGATTAGTTTGGGAATGAAGGATGATAAACATACATTGTGTGTGTGTGTGTGTGTGTGTGTGTGTGTGTAGATTATCTTGACGTTTTGGGTTGTTCAGAAGGGATTGGGTATTGATTACAAATTTTGTTGTGATTACAACAAAAATAAAGTCAAATTTGGTATTTCATTATTTAAGCTTGTTGATCATCAAAAAAAATAATACTGCGAGAACAAATTATAATTAAAATTCTAGAGGGGGAGGAGCTAAGATGGCAAAGTAGTATGAGGATCCTAAGCTTGCCTCATCTCTTGAACACAGCTAAATAAATACCAAATAATTCTGAATACCCAAGAAATTGATCTGAGAACTGACAGAAAGAAACAAACAACTGCCCAACTTGAAGGAGAGAGAAGGCCACATTGTGGAAGATAAGATGTACAGAGACATGATTTGGAAGAGAAATGGATCTTGTGTGCTATGGAAGAGCGGGAGCCCTGGTAATTGAGGGAAGCAAGAGAGAAAGATTTCCTTTTAACAGAAAATCACATGAGGAAAACAATTCCCTAAAGCCACTGACTGAGCTGATTTTCTGAGTTTTTACAGCCAGCAGGGCTCAAAGACTGTTTTAGAGTTCCATGGCATGGTTGGTATAGAACCATGAGGGCACTGCAGTGATCCTGTAGAGAAGGCGAGAAAGTAACCCTGGAGTAGAGAGTGCCATTGAGGATAGCCTGAGATTCATGGGAGAGATAGTTCCCCCTTCTTGGAGCACATCTGAGAGAGGTGGCATTGCCTCCCCAGGGATGAAGGAGCTGACTGGAGTAATCTCCCTACCCTAACCCTCAGCATAAACTAAATTCAGTAAATAGCACAGTGCCAACATTGGCTGCCTAAACACTTACACCAAGCCCTGTCCCCCTGAGCTCTGCTGCTACTGCTTTTTGTGGGAAAATGTACATGAGAACCAGTACAGAGGGCCCCTCCCTGACAAGCACCAAGTCTACTGACCACAGAGTTCTGCAAAGCTTCAGTACTAGTGGAAATACTATCAGGTGTCTTTGAACAAGCAGACCATAGCACACCCAGTTAAAATTCATCTCATTAGCCAAGGTCAAAACACACCTCACAACAGTCAAGGAGAGATTCTGCAGAGGACTGACTATAGAGCAGCCATAACACAGTATCAGAATGCACACAACATACATTAGAGACACTTCCTGAAAAACCAGGGTCTGGACATTATACTATTTCTTCTTCAGAAAGCCATTAATTTCAGGAGCAGGAAATATAATAGGCTTTCCAAGTACACAAAAGCAGGCAGAGACTGAGGAAAATGCCAAAATGGAGGGATTCATCCCAAAAGAAAGAACAGGAAAGGGTCATGGCCAGGGAACAATTTAGAACAGACATAAATAATATGCCTGATCCAGAATTTAAAACAACAATCATAAGGATACTAGCTGGGCTTCATAAAAGCATAGAAGACACTAGAGAGTTCCTTACTACTTTAGAGATAGGAGACCTAAAAACTAGTGAGGCTAAAATGAAAAAAAAAATGCAGTAACTGAGATTTGAAACTGGCTGGATTTAATGACTATAAGGGTGGAAGGAAGAGAAGAATGAATAAGTGACATAGAAGATAGAATGATGGAAAATAATGAAGCTGATCAAAAGATAAGAAGAAAGATTTCTCCTCATTAAATTAAACTTACAGAACCCAGTAGATTCATAAAATGTAATAACATCCATACCATAGGAGTTCCAGAAGAAGAGAGAAGAGAAAAGGGGGAAGAAAGTTTATTTGAGCTGAAAACTTTCCTAATTTGGGAAAGCTGAAAAATTCCCTAATTTTGGGAAGGAAAAAGGTATCCAAATCTAAGTGTCACAGAGAACTTCATAAAAATCAACAAAATTCAGCCAACACCAAAACATATAGTTAAATTTAAAAAATAGGGATCCCTGGGTGGCGCAGCGGTTTGGCGCCTGCCTTTGGCCCAGGGCGCGATCCTGGAGACCCTGGATCGAATCCCACGTCGGGCTCCCGATGCATGGAGCCTGCTTCTCCCTCTGCCTGTGTCTCTGCCTCTCTCTCTCTCTCTCTCTCTCTCTCTCTCTCTCTCTATCATAAAAAATTAAAAAATATAGAGAGATAAAGAAGAATCCTAAAATCAGCAAGACAAAAGAAGTCCCTAACTTACAAGGGAAGACAAATAAGGTTAGTAGCAGATCTCTTCACAATATCTTGTCAGGCAAGGAGAAAGTGACATGATATATTCAACATACTGAACTGAAAAAATATGCAGCCAAGAATACTCTGTCCAACAAGGTATAATTCAGAAAAGAGGAGAGATAAAGAGTTTCCAAGACAAAAAAAACCTAAAGGAGTTCCTGACCACTAAACAACTCTGTAAGAAATATTGAAGGGAATTCTTCAACTGGAAAAGAAAGGAAAAAAGGGACAAAGACTAGAACTCCAGAAATAGCAGCCATATAATAATGGCACTGAATCCATATCTATCAATTATTATAGTGAATGTAAATAGACTAAATGAGCCAATCAAAAGCCATAGGATTTCAGAAGGGATAAAAACAAAAACAAATAAGATTTCTCTACATGCTGCCTACAGGAGAATCATTTTAGACCTAATGACACTTGCAGATTGAGAGTAAGGGGGTGGAGAATCAACCATGCAAATGGACATCAAAAGAAAATAACAATAATTATATCAAACAAACTAGATTTTAAAAAAAAAAGACTGGAGGAGGGGCAAGATGGCGGAAGAGTAGGATCCCCAAATCACCTGTCCCCACCAAATTACCTAGATAACCTTCAAATCATCCTGAAAATCTACGAATTCAGCCTGAGGTTTAAAGAGAGAACAGCTGGAATGCTACAGTGAGAAGAGTTCGCGCTTCTATCAAGGTAGGAAGACGGGGAAAAAGAAATAAAGAAACAAAAGGCCTCGGAGGGGGAGGGGCACCGCGAGGAGCCGGGCTGAGGCCGGGGCGAGTGTCCCCAGGACAGGAGAGCCCCGTCCCGGAGGAGCAGGAGCTGCACCAACCTTCCCGGCGGAAAGGGGCTCGCAGGGAGGTGGAGCAGGACCCAGGAGGGCGGGGATGCCCTCAGGCTCCCTGGGACACTAACAGACACCTGCGAGCCCAGGAGAGGGCGCCGAGCTCCCTAAGGGCTGCAGTGAGCACGGCGGGGCCCGGGAGCAGCTCGGAGGGGCTCGGGCGGCGGCTCCGCGGAGGGGGCTGCGGGGCAGGAGCGCGAATCCACCAGCGCAGGCCCCGGAGCACAGGGCGCCGGGACACAGCCCAGGATCCGGCCTCCCACCGGGACAGGCAGAGGACAGGAGGGCCCAGGACAGCAAGGACGCTCCTGCCCCAAGCTGAGCAGATCAACGGCCCCGCCCCGGAGCCTCCAGGCCCTGCAGACAGAGAGCCCTGTAGTTACTGTGGGAGCTGAATCCAGGTTTCCAAAGCTGCCATAGCCACTGAGGCTGTTCCTCCTGGGGCCTCACGGGGTAAACAACCCCCACTGAGCCCTGCACCAGGCAGGGGCAGAGCAGCTCCCCCAAGTGCTAACACCTGAAAATCAGCAGAGCAGGCCCCTCCCCCAGAAGACCAGCTAGATGGACCAGTTCCAGGGGAAGTCAAGGGACTTAAATTCTACAGAATCAGAAGATACTCCCCCGTGTTTTTTTTTTTTCTTTTTGATTTCTGATTGCTTCCCCCACCACCTTTTTTTTGCACCTTTATTTCTTTTTCTTTCTCTTTTTCTTCTCTTTTTCCTTTTTTTCTTCTTTATCTTTTTTTCTTTTTCTCTTTTCTTTCCTTCATTCTCTCTCTTTTTCTCCTTTTCCCAATACAACTTGTTTTTGGCCACTCTGCACTGAGCAAAATGACTAGAAGGAAAACCTCACCTCAAAAGAAAGAATCAGAAACAGTCCTCTCTCCCACAGAGTTACAAAATCTGGATTACAATTCAATGTCAGAAAGCCAATTCAGAAGCACTATTATACAGCAACTGGTGGCTCTAGAAAAAAAGCATAAAGGACTCACGAGACTTCATGACTGCAGAATTTAGATCCAATCAGGCAGAAATTAAAAATCAATTGAATGAGAAGCAATCCAAACTAGAAGTCCTAACGACAAGGGTTAACGAGGTGGAAGAACGAGTGAGTGACATAGAAGACAGGTTGATGGCAAAGAGGGAAACTGAGGAAAAAAGAGACGGACAATTAAAAGACCATGAAGACAGATTAAGAGAAATAAATGACAACCTGAGGAAGAAAAACCTACGTTTAATTGGGGTTCCCGAGGGCGCCGAAAGGGCCAGAGGGCCAGAATATGTATTTGAACAAATCCTAGCTGAAAACTTTCCCAATCTGGGAAGGGAAACAGGCATTCACATCCAGGAAAAAGAGAGATCCC